GCCTTTTGCCTTCATGCTTTTAACAGGGAATGGCAGTGATGGAGAGGTACAGTGCCTGGCTGAGGGTGAAGCATGTCCTCAGGAAGCACAAGATGACGAGGACAGTGAGAGTGGATTGGATTAATCACTTTGGAAAACAACAGACCAAATCTGGAGCACAGCATCTGGCTGACAGCATGCGGTAATTCTCAAAATGCAGAGTTCGGCACTGGGACCGTTAGTTAAAACTGAGATCAGTTACTGTGATATAAAACCCACCGCCTTCAGCCAGCGGGAGGACTGCGTGTTTCAGCCAGCCAGAGGCTGCTGCGGCCTCCAGCACCTGACCTTCAGGGCAGAACTGGTGGCGTCAGTGTGCACAAAGCCCACAATCCTCTGCAACCCGCAGGCAGCACGTGCCTTATGTTCCCACTGCCAAAGCTGCTGGGGGTCCCTCGGCTCCAAGCTCTTCAGGGCAGCTGGCAGCATTCACGACTTTGAAAGTGATGGCACTACTGGTTTAAGGTTAAATTCCACTCTCTTAGGTCACTTTTTTCCCTTGCATCCTTCTAGAAATTACTTAGTTAAATGTTTGTATCTATCTTAGGGTTTCATTACATATGTAGTTTCAATCCATAATGTAACATTTCTGTCATTTGAACTAAATAAAGATTCTACTTGTAACCAAATATATTTTTAACTTGTTTCATCTCTTTAACAGTCTATGTCATACCAGGTGGACTTCAATGACAAATGGAGATTGCCTCTTAACATGGTATTTTACGGATCTGATATTCATAGGCATTATGATTGTTTATGCAAAAACAGATGCAGAAGTAGTGTCCATGCATGGAAAATATGGTTTTACCTTTTAGGGCAATCTGTGATGAAGCATATACTTAGATCTGCCATTTTCATAATTTTTCCTTGTGATCTACTTCTCAGGATCTGGATTTCAAATACAACAGAAAAATAACCAGCCAGCGAGTAATGGCAGAAAGACAGCTTTGGTGTAAAAAGCCGATCAAAGGAATTCTTTCATTAGCTTCTCTCTTACGTCACAGTGGTTGTCTTGCGCCAAAGTGAAATGGAAGGTAACAGCAGCGATGCCTCAGCCAGGCTCCCTCTTCTTCCCTTCCCCTATTTTGTTCTCCTTCTCCCCCTTCTGAGCTAGAGAATAATATTCAAGGAAGTGGAGATTGCTTGAGAGCAGCGCTTCCTCTGTGACACCGCAAAAGAAGAGTTGGGGGAAACGGACAACTCTTGGCCAATTCTGCTGAGGCATTAACGGCTCTCATTTTCCTAACAAAGAAGTGGCAGTGCTGGTCAGTTAAAAAAAGAATTCTACACTGTTTAAGCACAACATAGAAGAGTTGGCCTCATCTTCAAGGGCTGACGTTGTTTTTATGATATAACGAACAATCGCAACATCAGGAATAAGCTAGGCTTTAAGTGACCTCACTTCATTAAGCCATACCCAAGTTTAGGTGGATGTCTTTTTTCATATTTCTATAAATCTCTAATAATTTGTAATAAATAGAATTGAACAGGTCTTGTGGATGTGCACATTTAAAGAAAAAAAAAATATTACTACGGACTTGTTGAAAAGATTCATTTCCAGCCAGCTGGGCTTAGGTGCCATCTGGTGGTAAGAGAACTGGTCCTAACCATAACAAAATAAGTCATAAAAGCCCTCAGGGAAGACGACACAATTGCTTTAAACTTTAGCCGTTTTCCACCTCCCATCAGTAAAAACGTGCTGGCAAAATCCTCGGCCTCCGGGACAGGGCAGGAGGATGAGCGAGGGCCTGTGGAGAACAGGCTTGTCTGAAAGCATCTTCACAGGAATCTTCTCTTTAGAAAGCTGCAAACGCTGCCAACAACATTTGTGAGCTCGGTCCTAGAAAATATCTGCTTCCCTTTTCTAACAGAAAGCTGGAAAAGGTCTATGTTGAGGGCTTTGTGTTGTGCATTTCTTGTGCTGTGTTTTAGCGCCTGTCCTGGTATCCCCTTAATACACTAAGAACAAATAAGCAGGAAGGACCATATTATCACATCACACTTAAAAAAGAAAAAATGCTTATAAATAAGAGATATAAAAAACTAATTCCAAGAGTGAAGTTTGAGCTCTATTATCACTGAAAGCAAGGAAAAAAGGATAAAAAACTCAAGTAATTTCAAGAACTATAGACTCTTTTACTCTGATCCCGATTTTTTACCAGATATACCCAACCTGACTGGCATTTTAGTTTGAAGAATTCATCTGCTTTCTGATTTGTGTTTACTTTGCTGTATTTTACATGCTAGATCTCTCCAGCTCCTGTTTGTTCACACAGATGATCACAACCCATCAGCGGGCCCTACATCATCTCACAGGTGAATTGCCCCGATCCCTGGAAGCTGTTTTCACTCATCGGTGAGGACTTGGGAAGGAGGAAAGGAGCAAAGGGTAGGCGAAAGTAGTGAGAGAAATGCCAGAGCAGGACTAAATGAGAAAAAGGAAATATATTTAATTAGATTTCTGTAAAACTTTACAAATGTACAGCATAGTGCAAAAACGCAGTCTCAGCACATCACCTTCAAGTAAAATTAACAATGTAAAAAGCCAAGGAACACCAGCTTGCTTGCTTCTTCACAGGAGTGGCTCTCAAATACTGTTCCCGGAGGTTCCTCTCTCGCCATCAAGCTCCAATCTCATGTTTATAGTAGAGCAAAAAGCCTAAAGAAATACCCAAGAGCCATCCCAAGCAGCTGCTCGCAGCGAGTGCAGCCTACCGCTCCGCTCTACAGAAAATGCTGCAGCCTGGGATGGCGCCAGGCACCCTTGTTGGCTGAGCTGCACCTTTGTCTACTTGCAAACAGCTCTCCTATGATGGTTCATTCTTCAACCCCAACTAGACAATCCAGTAAGACACTGAAGCGCATGTCTAACCTCAACCATGTGAAAATATGGGAAAACTACTCAGGAGCTTGAAGTTAAGCACATGCTTAAATAACTTATTGGATCAATACGTTCAGTGGTAACATTAAGGCAACCTAGTGTGTGAAGGTTCAGAGAAGGATGTAAATCTTGAGCAGGGATAACATACGCTGTCGGGTGACAGGAGACACCAGACAGTTTTCAATTACCCATGAGAAAAGAAGTAAACAGAGTGCAACTCAACGACTTTCCGTCGCTGGAAATGACAAAACAGAGTGGCAAACGGGCTGATCTAGGTGAATTTTCTAAGCACAAATCTGTGAAAAAGGAAAACCTTGTCCATGATACACTCAAGCACATCATCTAAATACCAGGCCAATGGGGGCTGCCAGAATTTTCCCTTAGTCCTGAACACGAAAACAGTGGCTGGAATCAATTCAGAAGCTCTTACAACCTCGCTCCTGCGAAGACTGCACCACCAAGGTGGTGACAGAGCTCCCAGCACACAGTAGTTAGCGGGGGAAAAATGTGCTCAAAAGTGAATGTCTCTGAACGAACACATCTGTTCACATACTGATAAATGGATGGAGGAAAAGGCTGTGACAGGAAGGTCCATTCAAAACATGCTCATCTTATGAAGGAGAATTTGAGCCTGCATTCGTCTGATTGATTGACTGCATTTTGGGGTGGATGCTGCGTGACCATTCAAGGTGCTCAGAAATACGGTTTAAAACCAAGAATCATCACGGCAAGGAAAGCGGGCAGAGCGTTTCTTCAAATGATACTGGCACGGCTCCCTGTCTAAGCCCTTAGGAGGCCTGAGTTAGTTGAATTTCCTGGGTCTGTCTTACTGCATTTGGGTAGCTTTCCTAAGGAAAAGCAACTCAGGGGATACTGAGATAAATCATACATTCTCATTGGAACTACAGCATAAAAAACAAAGCTCTGCTTTGTTGAGAAACTCAGTTGTCAGAAACCACATGGAAGAGGAAGATTAATTCAACCTTTGGAGGCTGGTCTCAGATGCACAAAGGACAGAAGAAAAGTTAGTGGGACATGGTGGACTAATCCTTCCGCCCCTCTCCTACACTGAGCAGCTCAGAGTCCTTCTAAAAAGGGGATCCAATCAATTAAACCGGTTCATCAGATTGTATACATCAATAAACCAACAGGCACATCTTCAGGGGAAATAGAACAGGTCAGGGCCAAAGAAGAAAGTCATTGGACTGGACATAGAATACTTAGCCAGCACCAAAATCTGCAGTGCGCTCTCTCAGTCCTCTTTGCATATGAAAAATTGTGTGTGCAGAAGAGTCTATCCCTTTTTTTTTTTTTTTTCAAGTATGAGGTGCCCTGCCTTTATGTTAGAGAAAATAAATTGGGAAAAAAACCCAAAACAAACAACAAGCCCCCTCAATTCAGCATGGGATGTTTTGGGGTCTGTGATGGTCTGTAGCTCCCCTAGGAGCCAGAGACATATTCTGGGAGTGGTCACTCAGACAATGATCTGCACACTCCGAGGGATCTTCATTTTCCTACTCACTCTAGGAGGACAAGGGAGAGGCACGAGTACATCCCATCAAAACCAGAAAATGGATAATAGAATATGTTTAGAGCATTGGGCTGGCATATAGAACCATTTTCCTATTTGAAAAACAGCATCCAGAAGGGTCATGCATCTTAGCTAATCTGTGCTGCCCCAATAAAATCCAACAGTTTGCCATCGCAGACACTAGTCAGGATCACTTTATTTTGTGAAGACCCTGATGTACTTTTCTCAAGCTACTCTTCACTTAAATTTTTTTAGAAGATTTGAAATTTCTAAGAGCATTTTCAAGAAAAAGAGTTCCTGCCAAATTCTCACTCCCCATGGGAGCAAGCACCAGAAGCAGCATTTTGTTTTAAAATTGTTATCCTGGGCAAACACTGAAATCCAGGTGCAGGGAGGGTAATGCAACAGCTACTGACCATTTCCATCTACTCAGAAAGAAAGGGCACAAAAAGAAAATCTCTTGTGGGTTTCTGAGTCACTTTTGTTTCTTTACATTCAAACCTGTGGATGCTTGGATGGGTGGGAGGGAGATGTTTCTTGGAAGCTAAATCACTGGTTGTTGTCAGTTGAAGAGCTCAGGTTTAATGGGGTATCCCCTGGGACACCCACAGAGGACAGGTAGGAAGCCATATTTTCGGGTGGAACATAAAGCGATGAACTTTCAGGCAAGCTGATGAGGTCGTTTCCAAAGATTGACTGACGATCAATGAGGAACTGCTGGGCACTTTCAAGAATGACATCTTTCCCTAGCAAACAGACAACAGAAAACTCAGTTTCTGGAAGGCAAGTGACCAGACTTCATGTATGTAGAACTGAAAAGTGGCAAATCCCCACTGCAACAGGAGGTGAGGGGCCTCACTCCAGGCAAAAAAATGCTTGGAAACACTTGAGTCAAACCTGGACTTACTCAAAAGCCCATTAAAATCGATGGGAGTCTCTCCAGGTTGCCAAGCTGGGTTCTGCCTGAAGGCTGAGAGTTACCAACCATTTGGTCATCCCTCTTTCACTTCTCATGAGGCAAGTCTGGTAACAAGAAGCGAATGAGGGATGACCAAATGGTTGGAGACACTGAGAAATGATAAGAGCAGCTTCTCTTCTTCACTCAAGAACTCTCTGCTTTTCCTCATCTTTGCAGGAGACATCCGTCAATTGCCCCATTATTCCAACATCACGCCGCTGCATGGACCAGTAAGACTTTGCGACCAGGTGCTGCTCCTCTTGTGCTGTTCAGCCCCAACCTGCTGAAGAATTCTCTCTAGCGTAGCTGGGCTTTAACGCCTTTGATGCTCATGCAAGATGCTGAGCCTAAGGTGAAGACTGGAAGTCCTTGAACTACACAAAATACATTAAAACTCTACAGTGGGATCAGGTGGCTACAGCACCAAACTAAGGCTCACAAAAGCTTCTCTTTCAGGTCTATCCCAGGTGAATACACATGAAAATAATAATATATCACTATTCCAAGACCAGGAAAACACTGCTAGATTCATATCTAAGGTCAATGACACATTTCAGCAGAGTCAGTGCGGGGGAGAAGATCAGCTGGGCAGTTCCCTCGAGGTCTGGCAAAACTGAGACATAACCTTTGCCTCTGGCTGCTAGCAGCTACCAGGTCACCTCCTCTGCAGCAGAAGCCAGAGGAAATGCAGGACTTGTACGGCTCTTACCACCCCTACCCACTTAGATCACCACAGTGCTCTTAGGTGGTGATGAACAGGCAGAGAAAACAGTGGAGGCATTGATAGATATGATGTGGACCCAAGCAGGGTAGTTCAATTGCATTTAAACCTAAGTTTATCCCCGATACTTTTCCCACTGCTCAGGAACTAGCTTAGCAGTTGTTGTGGAAACATTGCTGGCTAACAATCATGAAAGTAAAATAACAAACGTGTTTCGTTCCCTCAAAGTGGCAAATGGTCAGTGCTGGATGTTGCATCTAGCTGCTGGCATGTTTAACACTTTAATTACATCCCTGTTCCCAAGTCTGCAAGAGCTGCTAGCGCTCCTACCTGGGCAGACGTTGTTAAACGGTGGGTTGAACACTTTTGAGGACAGCTCAGTTGCATTCTTCTCCAGATCCACTGTGAGTCGCTGCATCTTGATGCAAAAATATAAACTACAATGTACAATTATACAAAGACAGGGGAGCTTGTTAGAACTAGGCCGTTTCTGAAAATCAGTGCTTCATCAATGCTGCACAACATCCACCAGTAATGCAAGCTATCCTCCCTGCCCTGCCTCTCCTCCCAGCCTCACCCGCACTATGTTAAAATAGCCAAAAGCGTGTGCTCAAGGGCAGATATGCCTGAAGGAGAGGGCTAAGGGAGATGCAATCCCCTATTAGCACTGGCTAATATGGTGTCAAGCTCATGTCACATGAGGAGGCCGGGCTGGCGTCACTGTGGCTGTCCCTGCCCAGCCGCCATACAGAGGAAAATACGAAAGGAATTATCTTTCCATTTGCCTATGACTGTCTTTGAGTGAAACTAGCTTTTGCTTGCACAGCGCTTGTAGGTGCGGGGTTGCTGCAGGTATTACTTCCAGGCTTCTCTGTGCCTGTGACTTTCTGTAGGACAAGCAAGCCTAAGGGTAGGCTGCACCAGATGCTGGGAAATTCAGTGGACTCTAGGACTGAAATACTGGACATTGCAGCCTCCCTCTTGGACTCTTTTTACTCATGCAATCCTTTTTAAGAGAGACTCTTGCTTCCAAGGCTTGCTAATATTATATATCTCTTCGAGACTCTCCTTCCTAACACTCAGGAAATGGAATTACCTAGTAAATTCAAAATTATTAAATCAAAACCTTAAAAAGATAGTGATATCATGAAGAAGGCTTAGAGACCTTTCGCACTTCATTAGAATAGGTTACACTATAGAGACGGCAAAACCATCCAAGTCTTTATTGTACTTGGCTGGTAGTGAGGGCTCTTAAAATTCACCCTCTATCAAGCAGGAAAAAAACGCAGTCATGAAACACACATTTCCTTCGCTGTTTATTAAATCACCATATGCACTTTAGAAATGTCTGTGTCGATGTCAATTCCAAACAAATACTGCCAAACTGAATTTCCCCTTGTTTCTTCTGTATGGGTATGCATGAACCTTTATTCTAATTGCATGTGGTTTTACTGCTCCTGAAATGTAGAGGGATGGCTGCACTTTATAAAGGCATATTTTATAAAGGGCTTTGGCACAAAGACTCTTTATGAATCTATGGTATTTTTAGGACGTGACATTCACACTAAGAGAAAGTTCAGAGCAGCCAGTTTCAATTAAAGACTCCAGGACCCCAACACATCTCTAAACAAGCTCTGGCTGAGCAGGAAAGACAGATCAAGAGTATAAGATAACACTCAGCCTACCCCCAGGAGATGCTTACTGGCTGTGCTTTACTACAGTCTCCCCTCTGGCTATAAAATAACTAGGCATTCCTCAGTTATGCACAAGCTCTGTTTCATAATTACATTATTATCATTATCATTATCATATCTCAGAAATACATGTCTCTTACCGGGGACAGACTGGCTTCCATTTCAGTCAAATTCCACTCACTCAGAGATAAATTAGGATTAAAGACCTGTTGGGAGAAAAATACAATTAGGGCTCTGAGAGATGTAACGGTTCGAGATACTCGTATCCTCCGCTGTCTGCTGGAGGCTGTAGCCCTGCTGGCAGAGGTGCCAGAAAGCAACGCCTGCCTGTGCCTCAGCTGCTCTGACACACTAACCAAAGCTGCAGGCAAAGGCTGATGTGTGATCGTTTGTAGCAGAGCCAGAACAGCAAGGGCTGAGCTGTGGGCGCTTGTGCTGATCCTCAAGCCTTGCTGCCTGCCAGGGGAGGGGCAGCGCAGACACCCAGTGCCACAGCCATGTCATAAACCAGGGCAGCTGCTTGTGTCACCGCACGTGCAAGTCCAAGCCTTTTTTGTGCTACTCTTGGATCCCAGGACACTTCCAGATTCATATGGTTTTTTAAAAGCGTTCCAAAACACGGCAGCAGAGGGCAGATTACTGCTGCATCAATGCCTCAATGGCAATGGTTTCTTGAGAAGCCTGAGCAATCTGGGAAAAGGAGCTGTTGGTCTGGGGTACAGTTTTATGATTCATTCTCGCTCTTGTGACGTTCAGTTGCACAGAGAGAGAAAAGTGTGTCAGTAACAGGAAAACACCTCCTAATGAGAAAGAAGAAACAGAAACCAACAGAGCCAGTGACAGAGCAGGCCATTAGAAAAGCTTTCTGTAAAGTCGGAATCAATCACAGACACTGGGGAACTGTCTTTAAGAAGACTGATTTTTTTTTTTAATGATTTTTCTTTTTAATGATTTTTCATTCCTGTTTATCCATGCAAGTTTACCACATGCCTGTACCTGAAGCATCTCCTCAAGGGAGTACATCTTTGACATATAGATTCTTTTGCTACGTACAGAGTTATTTGATTATTGAAAAAAACCTTTCATACACAAACTATATGGAAGAAAGTTGGTCTGGGGTACAGTTTTATGATTCATTCTCGCTCTTGTGACGTTCAGTTGCACAGAGAGAGAAAAGTGTGTCAGTAACAGGAAAACACCTCCTAATGAGAAAGAAGAAACAGAAACCAACAGAGCCAGTGACAGAGCAGGCCATTAGAAAAGCTTTCTGTAAAGTCGGAACAATCACAGACACTGGGGAACTGTCTTTAAGAAGACTGATTTTTTTTTTTAATGATTTTTCTTTTTAATGATTTTTCATTCCTGTTTATCCATGCAAGTTTACCACATGCCTGTACCTGAAGCATCTCCTCAAGGGAGTACATCTTTGACATATAGATTCTTTTGCTACGTACAGAGTTATTTGATTATTGGCAAAAACCTTTCATACACTAACTATATGTACAGGAAGAAAGACAGTGAAAGAAAGAAACAAACCTTCATATTTCTGTATATATACTTATGAAAAAAGCTATTCTCCATTTCTAGAGAAAAGTGACCTGGGAACTGCAGGCAGACAAAGGTCTCAGCAGAGAGAGAATTTGACATCGGCTACACTTCCCAGAACGTGAGGAAAAGGGGAAGGTAGCAGAGCTAAACACAGTCTAGGAGTATCTAAGATGCAGAATATGCAAAAAATAAACTAACCCACCCAAAGCAATTACAAAACTACCTAGAGAGTCATATTAAACCTATTTTATGTACATGCCTTAGGTCACATGATGGTGTCTTTACCAAATGCATGGTGTTTTGTGCTCCTAGAAGTTCAAAGATGTATATTTTCAGAAGAAATGTAAAAAAGCATCATTTAAAGTCTGAAATCCTGCCAGTTCCTATAAGCAGGTCAAAACACAGCTGTGACTCTGTTGGCAGCATGTGACAGATAAAGTGCCACAGAAGAATAAGCAGCATGGTCTATGTGATTTACAGCCCAAAGGCACTGCTGCGAACTTTGCAACTGTTCCCCGCAGCCGCCCCAGTGGAGGGCCTGACACTCACATCCAAGAGGCTGGCGGGCTCCAGGCCGTACTGCTGGCTCCTCAGCAGCAGCTGCAGCCCTTCCAAGCTCCAGTCAGTGCCCTCCAACGGGTCTGAAATATCTGTTCTGAGAAAAGACAAGGGGAAAGATTACCACAAATGAGACTTGCATAGATACATATAGAAAGCAGGACTGAGCAGCCTTCCGACATGAGGTTTACGCTTAAATCTCATTTTGAAAACCAAGAGCCCTCTGCCAGCCTGGGTTTATGTCATTTCACTTGGATTAATCCCAGAAGTACAACGCAGCAGAGCACAGAGGGGACTGGGCTGATGGTAAAACAAGTGAGACTACTCCTCTCCTTGGTGATGCATGTGGTTTGGGGATGGACGGTCTGTGCACATCTCCTCAAGACTGGGAAAATTAAAGCTTTCCTTAGAGGAAATCCTTGTAGAGAGGCACTTGGGATCCAGAACAGGCTGCATTCCCATCCTCTGGGGTCCAAGATGGCTGAATTACTATTAACTAATGGCTTTTAAAGGAGTGTCTTTTACCTGCAGGTACTCAGCCTGCAGATTGCATTTACCGAAGAAATTCAGTTAAAGGAGCAAATGTGAGGCCCTGCTGGGTTTAAACCCCCCAAAAAAGCTATAAAAATTTCTCTTCAAATCCAGAGTCTTTAAAAGAGGATGTTTTTTATTCTAATAACATGTTTTTAAGTAGCCAGTGGGGTTCAGAGGGAGGAATTTGGTTCTCTCTGATGGCTCAAAGGAAAATAGAAGCCTTTCTGGTAACTCCATTGAGTGTGGTTTTTTTTCCCCCAGGCGTCCCCACATTGCTGCAGTTGCCATGAAGAGTGAATTCTGCAGTTAACTTCTACTTCATCCACCAAGCTGCAAGCACACTTTCCTCCTGCTGGTGAAGTCTGCTGTACACTCACCCATGACATTGGTGCTGGTGGGATTTCAGTCCCACAGCTCCAAAGGTTGCTCACTTATATCGCCCCGCGGCTGAGCCTAAGGACACTGTCCTAATCTCCCTTGCAAGAGGACATCATTCTCTGGGTGACTGTCACACGTGGGATAATTGCGTGCCCTGGCTTCAAAATAATGAAACCTCCATCCCTTTGTATCATACTGCTGCACTCAGTGAACACAAACTCCCAACTCTCCATCCCTGTGAGTGACCTCACGTGCTATTTCATGATTTTAAGGCCTGATTTTATACCCTTTTATCAAGCCTTCCTTTGGACTGCCTAGCATTTTAGTGAGCCCCTCCAGTTCAAGGAGACAAGCACAGCAATGCAGCTAAGTTTCGTGGGTTTTCACTCTTAGTCAGAGATGGGGAAGCTGAGATCTCTTGCAGCGTCAGCTCCCCGGTACCTCCCAAAAAGCACGCAGCCCATGTGACGGTGCCAAAGTTACTGGCTGCTCCCTGAAGACAGATCGAGCACTGACTCAGGAAAGTCACCTTGGAAAGATGACAGGAGGAGATGTAAAGGGAGAACAGACTAAAGAGAAAAGTGTATTTGACTTCACAGCGCAGGAGAGGAAAAGAAAGGGGGCAAATTATTTCCTTCTCAAGCCCAAGCGTGGGCCTGATAAATGCTTGATGCCTTATCAGATATATGCCCTACTTAGTGCAGAGGTTATGGTGATGATTGACTGTCATCTTCCAGCACTGGCTGCCTGTTGGCACACAAGTGACGCCTTATTCGCTGCACAGAAACACTAGTGACAAATATTTCCTAATGATTTTATGTAACTGAAGACTCAACAAAACAAATGACAGAAGGCACACAAGCTACTGGAGGTGGAGTGAGGTCCGGTGGCCTGCAATTCTGCAGACATGGATGCTGGTCTGGGCTCCAGCTTTCACTCAGACCTTGGGCAAATCCCTCTCACTGCAGAAAGCCTCTTCCCGTTCCTATGACTCTGATGTACATGCTCTGACAGCTTTTCCTCTGTTAGGTCCTTAAAGCATGTCATCCACAGACCCTCTACCCCTGTGAACTGTTCCCTGGGCTTCAAGGGTCCTCTAAGCAGGTGCCACAGGTACAGGATGGAGCTCACCAGACTGCATTAGGCGACTTAAAGTCAGCCTCCCTTTCCCCCACGCTAATGGGAAGAGAGGGCCATAGGTCTCCCTTGCTCCCCTCACCTGTCCAGCAATGCCCTTCTGCCTCTTCTCTCGGCTGGTTGAGAGGTCCCTGGTGGGGCTGCACCACAGCTCCCTTTGCCTTCCAAAACAGACTGAACCATAGCAACTGGGAGCACAGGGGGCTCAGAGCAAGCCCTGCAGCCTGGCAGCGGGACATCAGGCTCAGCGGTGGCTTTCACTCCAGGGCTGACTGGCTCTTCCTTGATCAGCATGAGGCACTTCTCTCTGTATCAGAGACAAGAGTTAGCACCACACACGCATCTGTTCCACAAAGGCCTTGTGCTACTGGGAAGGGCAATAGTACAAGGGCTTGCCTCCATTTCCCATCAAACTGTCCCACAGAGTCTTTCCATTCCCCTAGATGGGCAAAAGAAACCAGCAACCTTGTTTTCTTTTTAGCAAGCTTCAGAAACATGCTCAGCTGGAATATCTTCACTCACTTCATCAGGCACGTCTATAATGAATTTGCCCCATTTGACTGTTTTGCAAATATGGAAAATACACTTCCATGTGTTTATCATTCCTCACATGAGTGTGTTAGGCTTGAGACAGGTTAAAGGGTCACTAGACTAGAGAGGTTCCCCTGAAAAAGAAAAGTCTCCGCCCTAAAGACAGGAATGGGATCAGCAAGACCTTCCCATGCTGGAGTTAGGACTGGACCAGCAAGCACTCTAGAGATCCCAATGACACAGGTCAGGATCTTGTGGCCCTGCAGGATTTGGAACAAAACCTATCAAGATCTGACAGTCCCAGTCAGATACTTTACTTGTTTGGAAGCAGGGGTTTGCCTTTTTCCAGTGGGAGAGGCGCTCCGCATTATTCCTAGACGGACATTTGACACTGAAGTTTTGAACAGTAGCATTTTGTATGTAAAAATCTACTCGTACTACTTATAGGAGACCTTACAGCTCTCCGGGAAAATGCACAACTGGAGCCAATGTGACAAAGGCATGTAGATCAACAGGCACAGGGAAGCCATACTGAAAAAATATCATCTTGCAACACTTACAAACTAGCTTTGCTGCAAGACAACACATGAGCGTGTCACACATAGGGGATGGTATGTGACACTACAAAGCCTTCCCCGGCATTCCTTTCAGATCACCTTCTCATCTTGTGAATCCCAAACTCCCACCAGAAGCTCATGTTGATTTAGGAAGTACCACACTCCTGAACTCATTAGGGCCATGGCTGGCTCAGATTCTCAAGTCATGCAGACACAGCATAGATCAGAGGCCACCAGATGGCACTCAGTAATTAGTAGAAATAAGCAACCTAACTTGAAGGTTATATTAATTTTTTTCTGCTTTAGAAATGGTCTCCAGTTGTTTGGGTTTTTTTTTAAGCTTTATCTCTTTACATGCTTCTAGCTAATTTTATGGCTATTGTTTCAATTATTAGGCAGATTTACAGGCAACTTCTAGAGTATAACTGCCTTGCCTCTATGCCTGAGAAACTGTTTCCATGATTCATCTGTCTACTTACTTTCCACTGACATAGTTGTAGCTATTCTGTTGCTAGCCCTAAATACACTGCATGTCTGTGGCAGGAAGAGATAAGCATTAAAGTACCTCTGCATTCAGTTCTTAAGTTACTGGGACCTTTTCACAGAAAAGTTGTCAAACATCGGAAGTTGTTGTGATGCAACCTTTCTGTTCTCATTAGCAGAAAGACGTACAGTTTGATTCTCTTTCTTCTTTGTCAAAGCCAAAAGAAAACTTCCTTTTTCTCTCTCTCTCTCAACAAGCCCAACAAGGGTTAGTATCTCATTATTTGATAAAGTCTGAGACAGCCCCTGTCTTGAGAAAAAAATATAAAGAAGGATGGATTACTTCTCAAAGAGGTGAGTGGAAGTTCTCAGCATGAAACTCATTACTTTGTTTTGAAAGTTATGCTATTATTATCCCTCCCTAATTCTGAAAATCTGACCCACATTGCAAACTAGAAAAAAATATTCCAGCCTACCATCTCTATAGAGATTTGCAAATCAGACAGAAACTTTGGTAGCATTATAGCCAGGAAAAACTCTTTTGAAGTTATGCATGTCCATACCTGACTCTCTCTGTTTTTCATCACAAACATTTTTACCTGTCATTTTCAGGAGGGGATTGCATATTTATTATGTTGGATGGTGATGCTTCAGTAACATCAGATATGATGGGTCCTCCAGCAATTGCAGGGCTATTTAAGCAAGAGGCAGGTTCTGTTGATGGCTAAGAGGAAAGCAAAAATCATATAGATTTATTCTTCTGAGGACCAGAACAAGTCCAAAGCCCTATCTGAGATACTTAGAGTTTACTCACTGTGCCCTTGAGTCCTCCTTGTATGGAAACCAAGAAAGCTTTTACCTACTATGCAACATTATCATTTCCTCTGGCCTTTCCTCCAACCACACAGAGGTGCAGATGTACAATAAGCACTGTGACTGTAGTGTCAGCTACTGAGAGGTTTTACCATGTCTGACATTTTGCCTAGACTGCTTACCTGGAGGGAAAGATCCAACACAGCCCAACAGGGGAGCATGGGTCTCTCATGCCAGCTCAAGTATTTTAACTGCATTACATCAATGTCATGTGTCTGGTGTCTGCTTTGGTGGGTTAGGGTGGTGGGGATCCCTCAGCAACTGCAAAAATCTGGCTCTGGTCAGAAAGATCATAGTACCCACTTCTAGAACATACTTCTTCCTCTCTGCCCTTGAAGTAAGCCAGGCTGGAGTAACACCATGGAGAGTTTGGTGTGCGGGGTCTGCCTTTCCCTCCCACAACCCACGGCCTCCCACATGAACACAACAGCACAAGCACATGCAAGCATGCACCCCTCCTTGGAACAGGGGAGCCGAAGAAATAATAAATGTCACTCAGCTTTGCAAACCTCTTCTCTTTTTCACTGCCAAACTCTTGCCAAACTACTTACTCTGTAAATTGCATTATTGCTTCAAACATTTTTCCACCCTGGCCAAAGAAATCCCACAAAGCTCAGAGGCTGGTGTAAACCTACCGACTGTATGAAATAGGGGTCATGGAGGGGGTCCGTAGACAAATGCCGGCTGAACTTGGACACTTGTGGAGCTGAGATCCCATTGTCAAGCATCAGAGGTCTGTGAAGAGAAACAGGTTTCTTTTCCCAGCACATACTGACTGGTTCCTGGTTGCTCATACAAGAACTGTCTCTCAGCCAAGTGTTGTTTTCCCCTGGGTACTCTGTTTTTCCTCAGCTGTAAGGTACTTTCTTGTCCAGTGTTATGGACAAGGAAAGGAAACAACAGTTTTGGAGGAGGTCACCATTAGAAAAGAGCATTAGCCATACAGAGAAGGGATGATCTGGCCTTTCTAGATCTTATTGGAAAGATGCAAGTAAAATAACAAATTCAATTCATATTTTCTTCTAATTACTAGTGGTTTCAAGCTCTGGGCTGGATCTTCAGCGTGTTTAACTGGGTGTAGCTACGCTGAAATTATTAGTGCAATACTGGGAATCTGGCCTTGTTACCAGCTCCCTCGTGCCCAGGGCCTCTTTGGCAAAACTACATCTCCATACATAGCACTGCATAAAAGGAACCCGTGCCACTCAGTAATAAAACAGGAGGAGACATAAAGCAAAGCAGAGCCTAAACTCATTGCATACAGGCTTTTAAAAAATGACTGACAGGCTTTTACAGGTGGCCACTGACAACAAGAAGTGGGTCTGCATGCTGGGTCCTGTAGCAGGA